GAGTTTTACTGTAGAGACACGTAACAGAGACTTGTTGCTCGGTATGTTCCTTAGGCTATAACACCAAGATTACTTCACTTGGGGTGTGATGCCTACAATTGGTTCCATTGAGAAAGATAACTAAGATTTGCCATTTGCTTTTTGCGAGAAACAATGAATGAACAGCATCTTCCTACATACAACATGCATGCACTGTCAATTGAAAATTGTCGTGGTCAGAATGCTTTCTCAGCAGGTTTTCATAACTTTTACGAATTAAACGAGTCACTTATGTCCCTAAGGACTATACTTAGACAACATAACTTTTAAATAAGGCTTTATTCGAAACAATAAGTCCACCGGGCGCTGAGATTATAATTTCGACAGATCAGTGTTTCACCACGCATGATTTCAATGTTGCTTCGACAGCACAGCATGCCGACGATTTAACACAGCGTGGTAAAGCATGTGCAAAGAGTGATAAACGGCGAAATTTCACAAAGCTTTGACTTTGTAGAATTGTTCATAAAACCGTTCTCCTAGACGAAACAAACTGGATATTCAGCGCACAGAGAGCAATGTCATTATATACCTTACAATGATATGGACGGCCGGAAATTTTGTCCTTAAATCTTATTACTCGAAACTTGAACCTTTTGTCTCTCTCTCACTCTCCCTCCCTCTCATTACCGAGCTGAAATTTATCATATTTGTTATTCTCTCGACATTGTTGATCCTAGCAGTATGCAGGACGTGTTTCAGACATTAACCTGCTGAGCTTTCAAACGAAATTTCGCTTGCCTTTACAAACTTAAAGCCAAGAACAAAGACTCATTCATCGGCAGAAATGATGTCAAAGACGACCACTCCAATTTAATCCATGTTACTGTTATTTATATTGGGCGAATCAAATGTGTACTTCCTAGCAAAGGTACTGACAAAGTTCTGTTCGCATAGTCTCCTGTACCGAGTCAGCTTTTGCTCATTAAATAAGTATTCCAACGTTTTCGTTTCAGACTCATGGAGCAAAAAGATAGAGAGGTGAGTGTTCAAAGAAACCTTTATTTTAAGAGCCCGACACCAAGATATGTATCTGATAGCTTTTCCTGATGTTATTTCAAATTTTCTTTTCCTTAATTCAAGTACTTTTGCCATCCATGGGCTAATGAAACTGGTGATTTAGCCTCCTTTTCTATCTCTATAGATAAATTCATCAGAAGAGGAAGAGGAAGCAAAGAGGTAAGGATGATGTGAAGCATCAATGTAGATGTTAAGGAATGTCAATTACCTAGCAAACTGCTCGCCTAGATCAGTTTTGTTTTCAGCTTTCCCCTGATATTTTCAAGATATTTCTCTTGACGTGGAAAACAGCTCAGGTAGCAACATATTGAATTACATTCTCTCAATTATTTGCAGTGGAACGACAGACATTCAACCTGTCAACGATCAAAGTAATTTGAGGACTTGTCAAAACGGCTCAGGCACGCTTCCTGAGGTAAACATAAGTAATAAAAAATAAACTGAATACTATAAGAGCGTTCTATTCAATACTCTCATAATCAACTTTCATCGGAGAGATAACTGGAATCAGAGAAGCTCGAATAACAAGGAAATTTGTCCTAACAATCCACTTGTTAAGCTACAATTTCGATGGCGTTGCGAGATGGAACTAATATTCAAGACGCACAGCCTAAGTTGAGAAAGGGCAAGGAGAAGCCTTTATATTATATCAGTGAAAAGAGGTCATGAGATGGGAATGCACCTTTTCGGGAAGGAGGGTAAACTTCTTGGAGAAAAGGTTCTGAAAGAATTATGTGCGACCTAGGTAACCTCTTACTCACAACCCTGACCATAGATAAAAGTCGAAATAGATAATTCAATTGCCAAAATTGTATTAGGGAGAAAAAAAGGTAGGTTACAGCAGTTTACAGAGGCAATCTTCCCAAGCCATTTTCCACTGTTTTCTAATTAGAGCATTCTCTCCCTGATAGAATGCTTCTCATCTGTATTCAGAGAAAGAAAGACCAGTTAGAGAAGAAACAGGTCCAAGTGGACGTCACAGTCCAATAGGGTAGGAAATATCATTTGTCGCAACAAAAGCTTCATCTGATTACAAATTTGAACTACATTTCACCCTGAAATCAACTAGTTCATTTGCGTTTGTAGCAAAATAAAATGTAACTCAGGAAGGAGAAAATTCAACGATTCGGAATTTTAATACCTCCACAAAAAGATGCTGGACAAAAAGTCGTGAGACCACTAGTGCAGCTACTCTGTTAGAATTTTTCTGAGAGCATAAGAATTGAATTACTCTGAGGCAACTCAAGATCCACCAATTAATAAATAAACAGTTGATTTTGCAACAAGATAAATGAAATAAAAATAGTGACAGATATTTTTTCTTTTCTTCTTTTCAGGGGCACTAGTTGCAATCCCCATGTAAGTCAGGTAGGATGCAGTATGAGTACATATAATAAAGTCCGAAAGATAAAATTTTATACGGGATAAGTTATCTCGAAGGTATGGAAGATCACTATTGTCAAGTGATGTAATTTAAGTGATTGTTGAGGGATGGTAAAAATTGCAAACTATATATTAGACTACTAAGTTTGATCATTTAGTTTCAAAATGCTCAGCCTTGGTAAAAAGTCACTATCAAACTTAAAGCAATAACGTAGTTCAGCTAAAATTGAGCACTTTTTTTTTATACAGCTCTCCTAACCATTTTAAATGATTCCTTCAACAGGATGACACTGACCCAGTACTTATATTGGGTTTCGCAATTTTCCTATGGTAAAAGGTTGTATCTTCTTAAAATCACTGTTTATTCGTTCGTTTATTCAACATATATAAGAAGATCCTATTTTCGTAGTTACTCAGTCAATTCATGAAAATCAATTATATCATTAATTTTTTCATTCTGTGCTAAATTTTGTTGTAAAAAAACATAAAGTTTATATTACGTTGACAAAAAGGAACCATTCTTACACTACAAATATCAGTAAGCTTTAGCAGAAATAAATAAAAGAAATGAAAAACGAAAATAAATCACAAATATCATTGATATAAAAATTTCAGAGTATGAGGTGGAGGAAATCTTCAACTTAACATAGAAAAAATAATCAGTCATGTATATCAGGAATAAGAATCCTCCCAAAGTCGTCTCCCTTTCTTACGTCTGTAAACCTGTGACATCCACTCCCTTTCCCCAGTACTCCCCCCTTCCCCCCCCCCTCCACCATCTTTCCATTTCCAATAAACATGAAGCTAACTTATATGAAAGAACAAGTGTAGACAATTTCATCACGGATCCCATACTTCACAGTAACAAAGACTGAGTTAAAAGTTGGCAAAACGAGAACATGAATGCATAACCACTGAATAAACCAAGCAGTTCCTTTCCCTAAAATAGTCTTTCTTCCTCCTACTCTTTTACTTTTGTTTTGTCATAACCTACACCTTTCTGACAGACATTTATACAAAAGCATCTAGCAAATTAATTGTGAGCCGAAATATACTACGCTCACTCTAAAAATAAGCCAACTTCATTACTTTAGGTGAGAGATACAAGGTTAAATTTCTGCACTCCCTAAATGGGATCGAAGAAAAGGACATTATGTAGACCCAATATGACAAATTATACCACGTAATATCCTTCAAATGTGCTCTGGTTTAGAAATGGACTTTAGTCCCAGATGTTACAGCTTCTTGGTTTAATTGAGAGTAGCGATGATAGTTCGAACGCGAGGACAACAACAACTCAGTAAATCAGCAACAAATAGCTACTATTTTGAGCACTCGTCACAATAGAAAACGTAGAGACTTCAAATGTGAAGCTGGGCATAATGAGGTTTGAATCAGTTTATTTTGTACCATAAACGTTTGGCGTGGCACGCCTTGCATAAGAAAATATTTTAAGATTCTAGCTCAAAATAATAAGTCAGTCGTGTCCTAGCCTGCCTCTCCTTTAAAATGGTTGATATGACACCATGGTAGCCATATAACTCAGGTTTGATATCATAATTTTGACGGAAATTCGCTATTCATAAATGAGCTGAGATCGGTCACGCATACGTAAACGCCACTTCGCACGCAAGTGTTAATTTGAATTCTTTGAGGCTACCCAGGTACTCATTTCAAAGGACCTTGGGCGTAAATGAGGTTATCATGGCCAACAGAAGGTGAGAGACATTGCTCCATAATATTTTGCTGTAAAGTAAATGGTAGTATTGTTTGAGGTTTTGCGGCTCTAGCAACAAGAAAGTATTCTTGTGGGTTGTTCATTTCAAGTTAATGATGGACAACAATTCGCACTATGAGTGCTCTCTACAATTTTGACTTTGGAAAACGCTTTTCATCGACAGTTTTCTCCCATTTGATGGCGTATCCCGAGTCTGATATTTTCGATATAATTACGTGTAGATTCAAATAGGGACGATATGGACATTTGCATCTACAAACAATTTCAAGAAAGCAAAGGTTCGCCTTCACTAAAGCTTAAACAAGCACTTCGATACTCTTGCTAGAAATTTTCAATATAGTCAGTAATTTAATTCCTATGTAAATGCAAAACAACAAGACTATGCCAGAGATTTTAGACAAGATTCGCAATTAATGACGACAAATTGTACAACACAATCATTTATGAAATCGACCAGTAATTAAGCTGCATGAGAGTTTCGAGTAAATGCTCCAAACATTCCACGTCTGACTTATCTTGTGCTTCGAAAGCAAAAATGTACTCTCTCTTGACTCTCCTGAAGTCACGAGCAGTCACACAAAAGCGACGAGAAGAGACCATATCAGAGTCAAACAAACATTTCCTTACCTACATACATCCTTCGCATTCTTCAAAGTAGGGTTTTTATTTAATGGATACGAACAAGACTTAGAGATTTGAAATCTGAAAACAAAATCTTTTCGTTCGGACAGCGAACAAGAATCCAACATGATATCTGGAATAGAAAAGCACTTCACAGTCGTTACTGTTCTTTGAAGATCAATTCTCTCACTAACTTTTAGCGCGACAACAAAAGGGTAAAAAAATATGCAGGTCTAGTTTCTCTTTTGCAAATTACGATGAGCTTGAAGAAGTCACACTACAGGGGTGATATTTTGAGCACAACACTGTGCACAAAAAATGTAATCCAGTGAGGTAAACAGTAGTTACTATTCTTTATCTTCTAGCCTGGACATACAGCTAGTATATGAAGAGCTTGTGCTTATCAGGCGATATATTTATGAGGAGGTATGGAAAATTGATGGCCATGATTTGATGATTGAACTAAAAATAGCTTCCAACTGAATCAGGATTAGTTTCCTTGTACTACTCTAGTTCTAACAAAAAAGTACACCAATTTTTTTTAGTCTCAGAATTATGGAAGAAAAACATGTTCATGTGGGTATTACGTGCCCGCAAGGTAAGTGACATTTTAGATTTCAAGAAATCTTGTGTATTTCTGAATTCCATCTAGTTTTATCCTCGTGTCGATTATTTTATACCACTTTAAGTGAGACACCGTTGTACAACACCGTATACCACAGTGAACTACCGATATAACAACAGTTATAAAGACTGATCACTCTCGTATTTACTACTGCTTCCCATCATCTCTTATTTACAACTAATTCCCACCAGCACGATTGAATTATGTTTTAAGCTGTCACAAATGGTGTGGCACTTCTTTAAGTTCCTGTTCGACTCATATTATGCAACAAGTTTGCTTTGGCTTTTTAAAAAAGCAAACCAGGATCAAAAAGAATAGAGGAACGAACATAATTGACAGATGTGCATTCTTTCATACTAGGGGCATCGACCTTCATCCAGGAGATGTTCAGGTAAAATGTCAATTATACAAAACACACACTCACAGACGCACGCACACGCGTTAAATATTCCGTTTCTTAAGTGGCAACCTAACCTTCATTATACTAATTCATCTATTTTGGTTTCTTTACCTCGTAGGGATTCGACACCACTACTATGAACCTTTGTGCGGATCACACGCCGCATAATGCATCGAGATTAGATAAAAGCTAACAATCAAAAGCCTATTTGTCTCAAGGCAGTTGTTCAAGGCCGAAAATGTTCGTTTTTAGTTTATTTTGCATTAAAAAATATCTGAAAAAACGGAACAAACTTTGTAATGCCAATGCCAACAAGATAACCCAAATATCTCAGTGGGAGTATTCAGTAACGCTGTCCATCTTTCCTGTTTTCTTCATACATAACAAATACATCACGTAATATAATCGTCACGATGAAACAAAGGTTCACAATTTCATAACGTTTCGCATAAAGCAGATAAATGGGTCTTTGGTGTGGCTGAGATTAGCAGAAAGATGTTGAGCATAAGGCATTATTACTACACACTATCTATCTTCAGAACAAACACCAATCGGCTCACAACTTCTTTATTTCTTTCACAGTAATTTTTGAGGTCTTAAATTCTCTTTTCTTCTTTCTCTCTCATTTTAGTCACATTTCCGTGGTCTATGTGGAACTCTACTTAATCAGGCATAAACTGATTTAAGAGGGAAAAACCCCAACCGCAAAAGTTTCATTTTCGTTCCCCCATAAACTCAACTGACCAAAACTAACATTTTTGTTCTACGAATTATTGGAAAAACTAGGCACAACGAAAAAAATTTGGCATTTAGGAGTTAACACACGTCTCCCAGTAGCGAGGAAAAAACACAGGTTTCAATTCTTATAAATATACAAAATATATTTGATTAAGGTTTCAAAATGACATGACCGTACTACGTAAAGCTGCATTTTACACTTGGAACTAGAGCTTTTTCATGGACTAAAGCAGTACCTAAACACAATCATCGTTAGAATATAACTGACAAATAGAGCAACCGATGAAGAAAGAAACGTGAGTACAAGTGAACCACGAAGTAATAACATACCGCTGTACCTGAATAGACGAAACTCCAGCGCGGAAATAGACAAGTCGTTTTTGGCACACGACTTTGGTTTCCTACAACTTATTCTTAATTGTGAGGTCCTGCTTTATAAAAGGTAAGTATAGCCTTTTCTAACTTATTTGTATACGATTTGGAACCGACGCTAACACTCGAACCAAGAAAGGCAACCTTAAAACGAGTAGTCAATCTACTTAAACGAGTTACAATGCAAAAGGTCAGCATACGTACAGAAGCGTCGATTGATTCAAATTTTGCACTCCTTCATTGAGGCTCTTATAGTCTGACCATTGATAACTATGAAATTAATCGAATCATCGTAAAGCTGAGTCTTTCAGTCCAGCACGTCCGCCGAAATTTGAATTATCCAACCCAGCGAAGTAAAGGTAGACCATCATATCTGAAGAGTCTCCGTTGTCTTTTTAGTAGTCCCAAAGGGCTTCACGACCTTGATTCGAAAAAAAGAAGCCACGTTAAATCAGGGAGGAAAATTCGCCACCGAGAAGATTGCTGGAAATGTAGGGCGACCATAAAATCCTACGTCCGCGAGCACATGTCATGATTATCAATCATAAACGACTGAAGAGCTCATCGAGCTTGCTGATTGGCTTGATACAAGTTTGAAATCAATGCAATGGATCATAACTTTGTCACGCAAACAGTTTTAAGTCGAAAGACTTTCAGACGACATTTTCACTAAAATGTCGATTGAAAGTGTGGGTTTTGCATTTGTATAACATGGTCATTAACAGACGTAACGTGCCAACTGACAAGTTCAAACAAGCACCTAAAATATGGAAAGTTCCACTCTTCCAATCTACTGGGCACTAAAAACCTTTCCTATGGAGGTCGGGGACAAAACGAGATAACTTGAAACAGAACATTTCTGGACTTAAGGTAAAAAGGTATTCTGTATTGCTATGCTAATTTTTAGCTACGTCTGTGGAAACACGCGCACTCGATACAAAATCTTAATTTATGCTGTCAAAATAGTTGTGACACAAAGTTGACGTATTTGATGTTTCTTTAGAAATGTCAAGGGCTTCCAAAAATTATTTTTCCCATTAGGTGGACAATTTCTCCGAGCTTGCGCATCCAGTAATTTTGGCATCCTGATGAAGATCAATTTATATCTGCCGGGCAATTAGTCTATTCGAAACTGTGCTTGGCAGCTCGATCAGAAGCGTAGAATTTCTAAGTGTCGATAACAGAGCGATATTACAGGATGCACAAGCTCGGAGAAATAGTCTCACTCCACAGCAAAATAACTCTTGGAATTGCTTGACATTTCTTAACAAAAATCTGATATTCTGAAGAAGTTTGAAGGGACCTTTCTATGGAAATTCTGTGAAAATTTCTGACTGCCGAGCATTAAGTCTATTTAAAGCCGTGCCTCCTGCCGGGTGTTTAGCCTTCATAAAAGTTCCCTGCCATGCATTTAGCCATAAGATAAGTCGCTGTACGCTAGTCCGCTTGTATCATTAGTGAACTGCATGCCTCATTTATATGCATGAAGTTCAAATATCTAACTATCCCGTCACGAAATTAGATCTATCTTGGGTTAAGCCTTAAGATTTTAGTGGCCATGAATGAAGATTCTAACACGACCTTCTACGTCTAAAGCAGGCGGATCGTTCAAGAGTAAAACAAGATGACGGCATTTGCAAAGAACACCTCGACACATTTGAATTCAGAAAAATATAAACAATGATTGTTCAATATAAATCGATCGGGCCGACCTGCGTTTTAGAGAAATAGAACGCTTCCTTAAGGATAAATATGCTGACAAGGCACCTAAACAACAATACACGTTGCAACTCCACGCCTAGATGATTGACTTATGTCAACACGTATTTGTGGCTTTTATCACAGAGAAAATAAATTGATCCCGGCTGATCTATTCGTACAAAGTTTTTAGTTAGCATTCCTTAAGCATGATCAACCGCCAAATAACAGTTGAAAACAGAAGATTCACCAATTTACAACAATTTTGACATTATCAGACCACCGCGTTTAATCGTGTTTTTAATCACATACATTCTCACTGGAAGACAAGAACGTTTCTTCCGCTCAAATTAGTGATATACCTGATTAAAGTAGCATCCTCCTTCGCTTGGATAACCTCGAGGACACTTAGATAAAAATGCGATAATACCTGCCTTAAAATAAAGCATAAGCAAGGCTGAGGTAAAGATGCAAGAAAGTAATTCTCACACATTCATAACAAACATATCTCTGCTCGAAAAAAAATGCTTAAGAAGGCTTAAATCTACTTAAAACCTCTCATCTTTCAGCAAACGATCCGAAGACGTGATCGACATTCAGTTGTGCATCGCTCCTTAAGCGACCTATTTGTATCTAATCATCGTCGCAAAGGAAATGGTTCAGATTTGAACCGATTATCAACGCGGATTCATTCTCATCAATCTCAACAAATAGGGAATGTAGTTGAATGTACACAACATTACTTTTAAGAAAACCATTTCAATCTCCTGTTGCTTCAAAGTAGCTGTTGTAGCGCTTTTTGATATTACCCAAGCCAAGATAAAAGCTTAGAGTAGACTAAATACACGTATATAAAACTTATGAGGCTTCATTGTGTTATTTCCTGGCGATCAATTGCTAAGTTTTAAAAATTTCGAGATCACTCCGCCATGTCAATATAACCCAATAAATGTTACACACAAACATACCTGGAGAAAAGTTTATCGGCAGGTTGTATTACATATTTCGGTGTTATTCAAACAAAAACGTACGGTTCCCTTGTATCAACAGTACCTAAATCGATTCATGATAAAACAGCGGCGAAAATAACGGACGTAAAAATAACCTTTCACCGTATATTTCCTTCTAGCAACTTGCAAAGTTTGCTCCGTGGCAATCCCAGAAATCGTGACAATGTTTGTCGCACAATAAACCCATGAGAGTCGTTTAAAGTTTTCTTTGATCTCTTTGTTCTTCCCTTTTTCGCGACTCAATCGCAAATCCCTTTCAAGGCAACACAAGGATCCGATTACAGACAACTCGTTCATTTAGGAACAAGGCCAACTTACATAATGTAATCAGCATTTATACCACACTGAGACACTACCCAATAAAAAACCAACACAAATCGTACGTTAAAGGCCTAAGGACTAAATATGTGGGTTTAGCTGTGCCAAGTTTCAAGCTGAATGTATAAATATTCTACCCCTACCTGTAAAAACGTCGTTTTGTACATAAAACTATACTCAATTCTGTAACGTCTGTGTCACTGCTCAGCAGGTCTTTTTTGGCCACTCTTTAGATCTTTCACGACAGCATAGAGAACATTACTCTTCAAATAGCGAATAGAGCCAAGCCCTTTAGTGTAGCTATATGGTACAAAGCGTCATTGGAGTACTTCTGTTAGGGCCATACTATTATTAAGATTTCAAAGTAATGTGCTAGTACTCACAGATGTATTCCATGTCCTATTTTCCTCTTGGTACAAGGAGGACTGGTATTATGAGCCATCAATCAAGACCACATAAGTATCCTAGTGGTTTAAAAATATAAAATGCCACATTTATAAATTTATAATACTGTTACTTAGTTTGTTAATATGTTTCCTTCAAATAGGTTTAATCCATTTCATTAAATTAAATTCATTACTGCTTGAGTAGTGTTCATTGGTGCAAAGATAACTCAATTATTGACTGAAAAATCCACAGTTCACCTATATGAACGTCACATTTTCACAGTCATTTATTCATTACCCCACAGGTTTTCTTTAAGCCAGCAAAATGACCAGCTTCCACTTGGCTATTAAGCTCAGTTGGTAGAGCACTGCACTGGTATAGATCATGGATTCAACCCTCGTACAGGCCTAAATTTTTTCAAGCTTTATTTTCACTACTGCTCTAAAGCAGTGTTCATTGCTTTAAAGAGCACTCACATACTTGACAATTTTAACTTTGGATAAATTTAATATGCAACCCTTTGCTCAGGATTTAAACAACTGAGAAAATAACCATCTCTCCCGCTTTCATTGTATTGGAGAGCAAATTAGAAAGCAGAAATTGCTATAACTGTACCCTAGTTTAGGTAGTGAAAGTGATGTATTCATTTACAAGGGCCAGAGAAGCTAGTGCATTTCATAGCCTTCTGCTTTTATACAGATATTGAAATGTAAAATGCACAATAAGGTGCCATTATCATCATCATTTGGAAATTTCAACTCAGACATAACAATTAATTATAGACAGGGAGTTGCTGGTCTCAGAACTTTTGACTCACAGAGTTGAGTCTGACCCTAATAGTCTTAAGGGCTGCATTAATTTCAGTGAAAGAAAAGTTCAGCTGCAGACCTGATAAAAGTTGAGTGACAAAGCAGTTCAAACTGAACTGAGTGACAGTTCTGTTTCATTCTCCATTCTGTATGATGGAAGTCAGCAAGAAAGTTCTAAATGAGATCTTTCTCCACACTGTGGTAACATATGTGTAGTATAAACAGAAAACACTAGCCTGAGGTCTCAGTGTAGCTTTCAGCCTTAGCTTAAACTCAAAATCAGGGCTTGCGAGTAAGAAAAAGCCATAATGTACAAATTTTGCTTGCCCACCCTGTGCAAGTCTCTTGTCTGGAGTCAGGAAACTCTCTTGCAGTCCTGGATTGTTTAAAATTCCAATTTTTTGTCCTGCAATGTACAGTCTCCCAACTTTACTCCTCACATTTTAAGAGGACAAGCTACATTTAATTTAATAATTGAACACTCTCTCTCCCATTTGCCAAGAACAAAAATAACATGTCAGATCAGTCTTGACTAAAGTTACAATTGTGTAAATCCATCAAATTGTTACAAGTCAATGCTGCATCAGGTCTGGCAAAACAGAGATTGAATGGCAGAATCTTATGACACAACTAAAAGAACACCCCTCCTCCAATCCACATTTCCAATATTTGCAAATATTGTAAATGAAAGAAATCACATTCTGACCAGTGAATGATAAAAAGGACAATTATCTCCCAAACAATTATTGAGCACCACCAACCACTGAGTGGTGAGATCACATGATGTGAGCCAAGCAAATTACATGTGGGTTCAATTTGACCCATGGAGTAAAATTCAAGTCCATATCCCTTACAAATAATCTATGGCCTCACATCTTATCATGTTTTCCCTCATATATCACATTCAATTAACAAAAATCCTATTTTAGTCTTCTTGCTAAAAGTTAGGACAGTCTTTATGTGAGCTGGTTAGCTTGCTAATAAACCTTTTTCATAATTCTTTCATAGTTATCCAAGTACAAAATGGAAATTCCCCACCAGTTTGCAGACCATAGTCAGCTTATATTTCTAAAAAATATGAATGGTCAGCCACCATGGCAATAACAGTGGTAGTTATAAGCACTTCTCAAAATGATGAACTCCATGAGTCATTGCTCTCTAAACATATCCTAATATAAATCTACCAGAATTCCACAACAACTCTCGCAATATAATTGGCACCCTTACTCACTTTCTATTTGTGATAGATAGTAACTAAAGTGAGTAGCCTACTGCTGCGCTGTTCCAAACAAAATGAAACTAAAACATGAGCTCTGCTAACTCCCAGTCAATTACTTTTCCCATTAATTTAAGTTGTTTTTGATTTATTTTAGTTTGTTTTCACAAATACAGTCATTACAGATGTTTGGAGAAGAATGGGTGTAGTTTTGGCCCCAAACAGGTGTGTTACAATGCAATTTTGTGAATTTTATTTATTAGCACACACCACAAAGGTGAAAAGTGCTTTTATGGGCACTGATTGGGTAGTTTAAAAGTGAATGGTGAGTACTATTCATCTCTGAGCAGTGGCAGAGACAAAATCACATATCAAAAGTTTAATTTAAAACCCTTTTTTGATATATTAACCCTTTAATTCCCATGAGTGACCAAGACAGAATTTCTCCTTACAATATTAATACAAATTATCAACCAGTGATGAGAAGGGATGTGAATAAAGAAAAATATCACTTTGGGGATAATTAGTTGATCCAATACTTAATTCTCTGAACTAACATTATAAGTGTGCATGTTTGTATGTATTATGTAAGTATGTATTATTGTATGGTTGACATTAAGGAGAATTACAAATTTGATCTGGGAGTTAAAGTGTTAAAAGAAATTAACAAATTTTTTGGTATCTGTGTGTTGTAAACTGAGAGAATTACACACCTCCACCTTGGTGAATAATTGTTAATTATTTCATGTCACTTCCAATATCTAAATATCAATTCTCCACAGTCTGTCGTGAATTTCTTACAATTTACAATAGGATCTGAGAATTTTTTGTTGAATCAGACTTTTTCCTTACTTGATACTTTTCTTTCTTCCCATCTCTTTGTGCTTGATATTTTAAGAAGAAACTCCTTTTGGATCACTCCTGTGGGTGAAATGGGCAAAATGTCAATTCATGGAGTTAAAAGAAATTCAAATTGTTGAAAATGTCCTTGTCAAACAAAGAAACACTTGTGTTTGTTTGTTCAACAAATATTACTAGAAGTGTAAATCCATAAGGAGTATGCATTTGTTTTGTTTTCAATTTTATCATCATCATCACTATTATTACCTATGGTCTTTCCACTTAGCAGATAAGAGTGGTTTTCATTTTTCATTCACTTCACCTGAACTGTTTCTTTCGACCACAGCTCATCCTTTCTTCACCCATATAATCTGTAGAATAGGTTTATTTCAGTAACATTAGACAAGTGTACTTTGTTCAAAATCCTTTTTATGTGTGATATGCATAGCATTTAAGTCTGTTTCACCAAGAGATGCAAAGCAATTGAAAAATTTACTCTTGATGGCAGACACCACATGCAGATGTAGATCTATGCATACTGAAAAGTATGTTTCACACTTCTATCAATTTAACAAATAGACTCCAACTTGCTGGATGTCTGATCAGTAAAAGATCACAATGTTGAAACTGGGTAGGAACAAAAAAAGTGGTAAATGGGGTGAAGCCAAGTGTTACTGATGTTCTTACCAAGTTTTGCATGGCAACATGGAATCTTTTGCCTATTCCATATGATAAAAAGGCAAAATAATGGAAATGGTGACATCATCTAAGCATCAGTCCTCCAACAGAGCATAAGTAAGAACCAATCAGAATGAGAGTTGCCTTAGATTGTTCAGGTCATTTCCTATAGTTGTGACAGGACATTCTCAATTGTTTCCACTTTCAGGTCCTTACTGAATGAATTAGGATCTACAGTCATGACTAGAAGGAAAATTCTCTAAGTCAGGTAAGGCATTTATTCAAGGGCAGCACTAATTAGAAACTTTGCTTCCAAGAGCAGCTTTCAAGATTATTCTTTGCAAAGAAATTATTCAAAATGATTTCCTCAAAACTTTCCTTGAATGTTTCTTACTGATCCCTGTCTTCACACACTACACAAAAAAAGATAGGTCACCATGCTTGATGGGCCAATTGTATATATTTGAATGTACTGGTAATAATCACCCATACTATTTAATTGGTTAACAGTACGTTTTTTAATAGCAGTAAAAATTAGAAAAATACTGGATAGGTAGAAAGTCTTGTGTGTGTGTGGAACTATTTGATGGTAAATTTATTGAAAAATCATGCAATTTTATACAACATTGACTCAAAAGGTTCCCTGACTACTTGCTTTCAAGGTCATATTTTGCATTCTTTAGTAACAGGCTTCATGCACGCTTTTAGCTACCAGTATATCTTTCTTTCCTTGCACTTATTTTTTAGAATTTTTCTTATTTAAAGGGGATAATTTTTACCCTAAGTACACACAGTAAATAGTGTCACCATGCTTGTTCAAGAGCAAAAGACCTCGTCCACTGATGGAAAAAGCACTGGTAATGCCTAATTATGTGAAATTATGCACAGTGCAATACTGAGGAATCACCCAAATTCACAGGAGTGTCTAAATATTAAGTAAATGAGGTGCGCTGTTTTTAATCATAGTCCCTTGACATGTGTTGCTTTAATTTACTAACTTAAGACATGACAAAGAATTCCTTTTGGGGTCAAATTTATAAGTTCCAAACAGCTGAACCCTCCACTTAAGATGGAAGTTTATTAAACTGAACTAACAAATGTTTCAAATTACTGTTTTGGTAGTCACAATGCCTTCTTCAAACATTCCCTGCAAAAAGAACCAAACTTGAGAAAGTATTGCTGTGTTTGAGGCATACTTGGGCGCAAAGATCACTAACATCCATCGACACTTGCTGCCAAAAAGGTTCCAATGAACCAGGATTGAAAAATCCTCGATGGAACTAAAAAATTCCAACTAATTTATGGCCTACGACCTAGAATCTAGTCTCTCAAGTGTTACTGCCCTTTCAGACGTGTAAAATTCCATGGCTTTCTATGGCCTTTTTCCGGGATATTTTCACAAGTTTGTACAATCAAGTAATTGGTTTCACATTACTGTGAGCATTCAATCAAGATATTTCTTGCTTTGTTGATCCCTAAGGAGAAAACTTCAATCAACATTCACGAACTTCCATGAACCACACTCCACTTCAAAGGTAATATGATAATATTCCTTGCCATTCTAACCCCGAACCATGACCTGCAGAACGACGTTTTTTGCTATTCGACAAATTGACTTCGTGGAGCAATCGCCTCGATTTGTGCAATTCGATTTTTGAGCTTGGAACGTTTCAAAATGTTTTATATATTCTCTGTAAAAACATACCATTAAATTTGAATCCATAGGCTGCCCTCCTCGATCCTCTTCCATCGTCGACATTTCACATAACCTCACTTCCATTCCTGACAAAAGAGTACAAAAGACGTTCGACCTTCGGGTCATGACCCCATGGATCAGTGGGGAGTCCGAGAAGTTTAACCGCTGCCCTGCAACTACTGTATTATGACGTCGCGTAATATCACGCCAGGAGTACACTTAAACATAGTTCAAGCCAATCCGTAAAACGTGTATATTTGAGCATTTCCAATTGTAATCGCGCGAGCTAATTCTATCGTGTTTCACCATTGTTATGTCTGCACGACCTTCCACCTTCCTTTAATCTTCAAATTGTCTGGCCCACCAGGATACATTTACATTCCTAAAGAATAACAAAGAGATTTAAGAGAGGGGAGAGGTCATCTTTGACCCCAGTTAGGAAGTGTGGAGCGAAAAGTCCGAAAATAACCGATAAACATCTTTACCCTGTAAAATCAGTTAAATGCGATCAAGAGTACTTGGTGACTTCATGGGTAAATGTTACGGATGTTGACTAAGATGGATGAAACTGAGAGGATCACCTGCGACCGGAGACTTAAAAAGAAAACCAAAGGCTGCAGCCAGAGTTATAGAAAAACTCTTAATTACGGGCTGTTTGAAGGCCTACAATGTTAGAGGTGGACAACCATGCACTCACTCAGATAATAGGCTTTCATTTAAAGCAATTCCTGAGTGAAAAGCCGCCGAAACATTCTCATCTGAGCCAGCGGTGGAGTATTCAACTGTGGCTTCCCAAAGATGGCAGGCATCTTCACCCGATTTTTACGATGAAATTTTCACCTTCTCCAGTCACTAAAAGTCACTTATCTATTATAGAGGATTTAATTGTTCTTAACGGCGGGCCAACTAATCACATTTTTGGTGACTCTACTTACCAGAAGTATCCACTATTTTCCTACCGCATCATATCAGTTCTCTTCACTTATACTAGGCCCTACAAAATTTCTCTTAGTCCAGATTTCTCATTCATTCATTCATTCATTCATTCTGCGATAATTTCCACCCCCTAACCCACCAACTCAGATGTTAATCACCCAAGAAAATCACTGAACTATCAACTAACACTAAGCACAGTGCAAAGGGCCGATTATTTAAAGAAAGCTTAGACGTTGTTTAACAAAACCACGCTCTAAACTATCTGCAATTTAGCTGAACCTTTTATCTGAACATTTATTTTTGTGAACAGTGTCAGTAAGGCCGAAAGAAAACATTGGAAGGACATTTATTTCTCAAATCAACCCTCTTGTAGAGAAACCCTTAGGTCCACTGCTTGCTTGAAACCGCGGTTTGGGTTAGACCTCGTGTAAATAACCGACCCACAATCAGTACTGGTTTACCCTTCTGCCTGAAACTTTTTAACCCTGACATTCCACTAGCATATTGTAACTTACCTTTGATTACTTTTTCAAGACGCTTACGTGTTTCCAATCGGTACTTTACCCTAAAACCTTTTTCCAGCAATTTTTGGCAGTAAAAGTATTGCAAACACGTTTCGATTTCGCCGCGCTCCATCAAAACGATAAAAGAAAACGTGTCCATCTTGACCAAACACTTGGTCGATGTTCCATATTTCTAGGCTTCAGACATGCAATGGCATTATCTTTAGTTTTCGATGGCATGACGGTGTAAATCCACTAACTTCAAAGGTGTTAACCAGGAAATCTCCCTGCTGGGACAGACTACACAAGTGACAAAGACTGATACATCATACAGATGGCGCGACTTATGGTATTTAAAATGGCGATGTACCTCAAAACATTGTTCTTCAATTCTCTCTTCTCCATGTTACTGCAAGAAAGCTAAAACAAAGTTTGGAGAGGCACCGATACCGTTCTTGAATGGATAAGTACTCTGATTCCCTCGCCGGCCGCAGGTAAACCAATTTCATTTCCGGCTTACTCGAATTCAAGCAATCGGTCATCTCTTTACAGCCTTGAATGTCTTAAACATGATCTGTGGTGCTCTATACTGATGCATATGCCGATTCTTTTTCTCTGGAGGATTAAAAAGGGAGCGATAGGTCTTTCATGTCTGTGAGGCTTGTGTATGAAAACGGGGGATGAATTATATCGCTATTTCATACCTCATGTAGCTTTCCCGATCTATAGCCATGCTAACGCTATATATTAACGTCACTCTAGGCTAGATGTAATTGAATAGAAAACTGTGCATTGATTGTTCTTGATCAGTCAGCCCTTGGAACGACGCCATCTAAGAAAATTAGATAGGAAAATATTGCGTTGCTTAAAGATTAAATCTGTTAAATTTATTTGAAAAATCCGAGTTACCTATATACTCATGCACACTGAATAAACTTTGATTAGCATAAATACATGTTGATAACAGAGAATGTAAACTAAGAAAACAGAAAATTTTTGAGATCTGTCACAGAAATGAAACTAGGTCAATACGTCTCGGTCTGTCTCATGGCCCCACAAAACCTAAGGTTATGGCTCATCTTACTTCGTATCCCGACCAAAAAGCACACCAGAGATATTTCGTAGTGAAATCAGAGTCCCTTTATATCAGAACATCACCTGTGAGAGATGACCAGCATCAGAAGCAATCTATGATATCTAAAGCCATGCATGACCGAGTGATCGACCTTTTAACAATCAGAATTGCAAACTGAAATCTTAGAAAAGCACTTGCTAACACCAGAGAGTTTCTCACCAAACATTGAGTACATGTTTGACACGTTAAATGATATGGCTTCGGCATGAGCTTCACCTACTCTCTCAAGTTTTTTTTAACAACAATCAATAAAGGAATCAGTACGTTGGACGAAGAGAATCCAAAACTTCATGAAACGAAACAATCAAACACCCGCGATCGTAAATGTCCGTCGTTCTGGTATGAAAGGGAAAATTCCGTTTTATTCTTTAGTCGCCAAAGCATGGGAGCAAAGTGGGACAAAATATAAAAAGAAGATCTTACTCTCTTATACAGGTTTCAAACGCCACACAAGCTAGATAGGATTTTTAAGAAATCGTTTGGCGTAAACTCTTTCAGAAAAATACTGAACAATCTCTCTTTGCGGATTGGTGAAAGAATTGTTTTAGCCAAGGTATAAAATGACGCCTTCACGTTTCAGAAAAGGTGTTAATTTACGAAGTGAACTTAATCAAATCATACACCCGAATTTTCAGGAGAATAAATCAATTTTCAAGAAAATGAATTTTTCTTTCAAGCTAAGGCAATTGAATTAATGAGACCACACTTTATATCAGCGGTTATATACACCCAGGTTTGATTTTTTTCTTTTTTGTACGAGTAACAATGATTGGAGCTAGTCTGTAGCTGACTGTGGCTATCTCTGTCTGAAGCTAGTCTGTAGCTAGTTGTGGCTGACTAGAAATTGCAGGATACTATATTGCTCAGTGAGACAAAACTACTGTGAGTAAAGTAAGTTTCAAGGAGAAAGAAATACATCTTAATTTCATTAAGGTATATTGCTTTGATGAGAGCCATGAGTCACGCTAGGTGCAGAAATTTAGTTTGATGGATAGAGAGATAACATTCCCTCAAAGCCATGAGTCACGCTAGGTGCAGAAATTAAATTTGATGGATAGAAAGATGTCATTCCCTCAACTCCTTAACAACGTAAACCAAGAGAGCCGTGCAGTTTGCGTTTTTTTCAATGCTTAGGTTTAGAAATGCAATAAACAATTAACCCTTTGAGTTTACTTTACGCTATGTTAAGAACGAGCGACGCTCGGACGGATATAATATATTTTTGCAAAGCGTCAGTTGGTCCCAATGAGACACTTCCATTTAATCCTTCGGTTACAATTGTCATTCTCGTTAAAGGATTGTTTTGACGTGCGGATGTCTGAAGCACCAATTGTACTACTCATTAAAAAGATTTATGACGTGAAATTACTTTAAAGTAGGAATGAAAAATTGACTCGACTGCGCTGCTGCAAACAGTGAGTCGTAGTAACCAATACCTTAATGAATGCGTTGCACATTATGAAAGATAAACACTCATCGGAGGGAAGAAACTGTGTACGTAGTTGTAGTTTTTCCGCACAAAGTAGCGATTTTTAAAACATAAGTGAATAGAAACAAGCTCAATACGCTCCTGCAATGCTTTGCAGGTTAAAACAAGATTAGAGAATTAACGTTTGAGAGCTTTAAACCGAATTATGCAGGCGTGACTTCCGAGCACTTTCAAAGAGTTCATCCTGAATTAAAGATAAACTAACCATTATCGGATCCATTTACAGTCATCACCAGCATTACTTCCTTCTCAGTGGGTAACATATTCGATTACTAAAAGACAACAAACATGGCAAAGCGAAATTACGCTAGGCAGCTTCCCGGATCAAGACCGCGATAGCGTGACTGTATTCTTCAGCTAATCGTCTAACAGAAGAAAGAAAAAGGGTTTTTATGGGAGACCCCAGGGGGTATTGCTTATGAGAAAGGCGGTAAAGGGAAGATCGACTTCATTGGTCACCCCCCTCCCCCTAGCCTCGATATCCTGATATTCTTTAAAGTTTGTGCCTTAGTTTAGACCCCTTCGTTTTCTCTGGTTAAAATGATAGAGTTGATTTTGGCTTTAAGAGGGCTTCAACATGACGTACTCCTCAGGGGAGGAGTTTGTTCAGTTGTGACCAAATCGATTGTTTTACACTTGGGCGCACCTCAATCGTTCTATAGTTCTCTTGGATCACAATGAAAAAGAAAAAAAAACGGCAATTCGCTGTTTAAGATAAGATAATATCTGTAGGCGTTAATCAAAGACGAAAGTCCTAACCACGCTAACCAACGTGTAACCCAGCCGGACGGACACAATTTATTTTATAAGAAAAGTGATTCGACTTGAGAAGGTAATTGACTGCCGCCGAGAGATTTTCAAGTAACATTACTAATTAATGAAAATACAAAATGGCAAACAACCCATATTCTCTATCTTTTTTGCCATAGGTGGGATTGCATGTTTACTATTACTTTGCATGCGTTGCACACCTACGAGTTTTCTGAGAAACTTTGAGACCAATTTGATATGTGAATGTCAACTTCGTACCGAGCAAACGTGACAAAAATTTTTACAAGCTGCGAGAAGAATTTAAAATCACCAGGCTTATCAACTTTGGTGTTTGTGGTTTAATTCTTTGCTTTCCTAAACGCTTGGGTAACGGAAGAGGAAAGGAAGGAATTGTAGCGGTCCCTTCTACTCTATTCACGAATAGAGTTATCACTAGTGATAATTCTTCTGTCAATGAAA